CATTTCAGTGGCATGAAAAGCAACCTATGTTTTACTGCAGACCACAATGTACCCCTATTCCAAATTTCATACTGGTCCCTTCAGCCATTTTGACGTGTTAAAGTAACAAACATACACACAAACACAAACTTTTTTATATCAGGTTGTTAGTCATCCTCTTATCGCTAGAGAATATACAGGTATATAATAAGTGCTCTGCATATAGTCTTGTTACGTGCCAGAGCAAGTGCATACGCTTAGGAAAACGTGATTTATCTCACACGCAGCATCATTTATCTCCTGATAATGATAGAACTGATTACCCTACCCAGTATCCAAATTCGCGAAGTAATATTATTATATAGTGTAGATTTTTCTTGTACAAGAAAGAAAACTTCGCTGAAAATAAAATGCGTTCTCCTCTACCGTCAGACCCAAACACATACCATATTGCTTCTATAGGAAATGTCGGGATGCGATGTGAAATAGACACGACCTAAAACAGAGATTCGCCTTTATATTATTAGCATGGATTCTTAGTACGTTCAAATTAATTCAGCTAGGAGGCTATTCTAACTTTGAATTCGAAAGACGGTGGACTCGGTCGTGGTCTGTCATGTCATTGGTCGTGGTTGTGACAATAATCTCGACAAAAATAAATGAAGGGCGAGAATGTGATCGAGTTCACTTTGAAAGTTCGACTTGACACTTACTGAAGCCTAGAAGATCTCTACTTACTTACATACTGCACGGTTGATGCGATGGCTGGGTAACCAGCTGCCGTGCAACGTGTCGCAAGTTCGATTCCTGCACAGAGCAACTATTTGTGTCATCCACAAATCGTTGTACCGGGTGTGGGTGTCATTTTGTATTTGAACTTGTATGTTTGTAAACGCACCCACGATACAGGAGAAAATCCTAGTTTGAAACAACGTTTAATTAAAAAGAAATACTTTAAACCTTTCTAGCAGTTGGTATTCAAGTTATACAAGTACCTACTTCAAAAACACTTGCCCACTTGTCTGCCCTTTATACAGGGTTATCAACTCAATTAACTATTGTTTATTTTGTAAAATGACTACCTAACAATGGCTGACTATTCAAATCGTCGAACTACGTACACGGTCGTTATTGTAAACACTGAGTAATTTGTAAATGGAGTGATAATAACATGACGTTTTATACGTTTATATTTCAATAGTTGCTCGATTCATTCGATGTGTGAAGACATATTTTTTTATTTACGCTACTGGGTATGGTAAAGTGGTTAAAATTAGCTTCTGTCTAACCTTATAATACTTTCAATAATAAAGACATTGAACTAAATAAAATCTATCTTGTTAAAAATTCGTAACTTTCTGTGTATGATATTATAAATCTGGAATAAGTCTTTACGCTCTGATTGGTTGATGAATGTAGAAAAAACGATATAATCGATATATCGCGGTAAACGTCCTAAAATTAGAGTATTTCAAGTAACAAGTGATCACTCCACGTAATACATAACCAATGTGAATGTCTATAATAGTACATTGTTTGGAATCAGTTGATCGATGCACTGCACGTGTTTTATTGATAAGATAAGAACGTCGGCTCTGTTCATAGTTGAAGTAATTATCGATTTTATATCAAGTTTTAAATAACAATTTGCTCCTATACTCCAACACTGGGAAATTCTTTTGATAAATATCAACTGTAGAAATATTGTCTTTGGTATATTATTAGTTCAAATAAAAATCGACATTATGATTAGTAAGTCAGAATGTCAATTATTACTTATCCAAGTTTTATTTGTTGGGCTGATGCCGATAAGGAGTCGCGGAGAACCTAACGGGTTACCGGGGCTCCGGCTCGAAGTGTAGGTGTAGTAACGGGATGGTTTTTAGTCAGTAAGAGTCTGACACTCCCTCTCGCCTCAAGCAGGCGGGAGAAGTCATTCGATGATTTCCCCCTTAAAAAAAGGTGTTATTTGTTAAATTTTCTCTAGTCCTACAACTTTTATCAGATAATGCAAATATATCAAAAATCCAAACTGTCCTATTTGCGTGACCAAAGCAAATAGAAGTTTATTTTTATGCTCATGTTTACGTATAAACTGAAAACTGCTTTAGTTGTAGGTGGCTTACATAAAAGCTTCAATATAAGTACTTACAACACATCAATTCGTTCCATCTCCAGTCTCCATCATACAAATATTTGCACTGTACGCATAGAACTAGATCATAATTTGCACCCACCGTGCAGTTTTTTGAAATGTCCATACCGATAAAATATAATTAGTTTTATCACGTCTTAATTAATTTACATTATGCATAATGAGTCATCATTTGAATGCGTGAACTTTGACATTCAATGACGGGCGCATTCGCGTTCAGAAATGAAGTCAATTAAATAAAACTGGTACGATTTTAAAAAGTTACTTGGTGACGGAATTGGTAACAAAAATATTTATTTATCAGTCGTAATTATACAGTGAGTAATTGACAGTGTAATTTTTAATTAATAAGTGCTCGAGTTAATATTATGCTACATTTTGTTAAAAACTTTCATGAAGTTCGATCGGAATTTCGTTACTTGGTTTTAAGACTGTTATTTTATGATGAGATAGTTGACTAAGCGTTAGAGTAGACCCAGTAATTATTTTTAGTTTTATAATTATTCCAAAAGAGCGAATAGTACCTGGATGAGTACCTACTTAGTCCTCCATTTACTCTATCATCCGTCAACATTTGTCAGAAAATATCTTTTAAAGCATCGATTATTTGAACATTTCAAACTCAATGGGTCTCATAAAGTATTTTTTTTAAGGGGGGAAAATAATCGAATGACTGCTCCCGCCTGGGTGAGGCGGGAGGAAGTGTCAGAGTCTTACTGACTAAAAACCACGCCGTTCCTTCTCCTGCACGTCGAGCCGGAGCCCCGGTTACCCGTTAGGTTCTCCGCGACTTCTCATAAAGTTTTGAGCTCTTACCGCCCCGTACTCAAAGTTGGTTAGTTGGTTACTTATCCCAGTCTTTAGCGATTGTTTTCAAAACAAAATGATTACTATAGAATAGTTCAAGTAATGACGAAGTGTTTCTGAGTACGGCAGTTAACTGTCTTTTACGTGTGCCATGGACTATGACCATATCATTCAATTAACTTTCGAATTAATTTTGCACGAGTATCGACCATGGAAATAAACTTTTCGTGCTATGCGACTGTTAGATATGTATTCTTATGGTGTAATATTATACCATTAAAAAATACCCAATTTGTGAAAGTAGATACTTCACTCACTTTTCTTGATGACTGACACTTTTCTTGATGTTACCTCAAGATGTTGTCCAAGTACCTTAGCTATCATAAGTATCTTCCTCTTCATACTGTTCGAATCTTTCTTCATCTTCTGCAATTCCTCTTCAAATGTTTCCTCTTCATAGTGAAAAGATTTGTTTGTATTAGATAAGCTCCGAAACTGTTAAACTGATTTGAACATTGTATTCATCCAAGGTTAACAGACTTCAAAAAAAGGAGGTTCGCCCGCGATTGTCTCGCGATTGACGGAACCGATTTTGATGCGGTTTTCAGTAAAGGGTTTGTTACATTTAAGAGAAGGTTTTAGTGTAATTAATTACTTGACTTCAAAAAAGATGTGGTAGAAGTCTGTTTTTTAAACGCAGTTTATAAGGTGAGTATAAGGCATGAGGCAGTCAAAAATAAAGCAGAGCAGTAAAGCAATGTAATAAAAATAATTGATTCCAGAGACGATTTACTGTGTTATCCGTTCCCTGCATACTGAAGTGAGCTAAAAATTCAATGTTTATTAATATTTCATTAGATCAAAATAAATATTTGTGGTCAAAGATGTGAATCAGACAGTTTGACGGCCCTGCCGGCATCCCCAAACAGATAACAGCAATGACACTTTGATCTTTGACACCAATAACAATACGGGTGTCGAGCCTAACATAAACAGGCAGCCGCTCTGTGATAACAATAATTATGTTATTATCTCTTTGTTTCATTATGTCATTTCAAAGCTAATTGTGTTTAATTTAATTAGTCTTTGATAATTTATTAGTTTTACACTATGTGTTAAAACCTTGTGTTGTCATTATCATTAATTTGGGTTATACGACTGACACACATACACACACGCACATAACTGTTCGGGATGACTCGATTAGTTTCAAGCCATACCTGGGGCCCATAAATATGAGAAGCAAGCATGTAAACTGGTCGAGTAACGTTATCGAAACGGTACAAGCAGATTTGTAGGTTCGATACGTTGCAGTTGCTTGCTTAATTGGCTCCGAAATCTATTCACAGATATTTTACGAGTCCTACAATGGAGAACGCGAATGTTGACAAACAATCGTACCTATCATAACTCGTACTATTGTTGGGAATTCCATAAATTTTGTTTTCTCACAAGGAATGCTGGTCTGGTAGCATTCAAATCTACTTTTGTGCAACTATACCTCTATGAATAGAGTTTTAAATATATTATAACCCGGTAGCTATTGTTCAATTAGACCTACTTTTTTTAAGGGGGAAAAATTATCCAATGACTTCTCCTGCCCGGTTGAGGCGAGAGGGAGTATCAGATTTACTGACTAAAAACCACCCCGTCTGAGGGAGTGTCCTATTCCTGCACGTTGAGCCGAAGCCCCTTTAACCCGTTAAGTCCTCCGTATCGTCATCAGCCCTATTGGGTGGTGGTCTGATGGCTTTTTGAGGAGTGCCCCGTACGCTCGGGAGTTATACCTACTTATGTCTTAAAACTGATCAGCCACCGGGATGGGTCACGGTGTCTTCTAAATTTTTAATACAATCGGTATGCTTACTACGTGAACTAAGTCACCCGAGTCCCTTGCCAAAAATGCGGATTATGGATCACAAGAGTAAGGTTCTTGCGCAGTTTTGCAGTAGTGGACATGTGCTATTTTTTGCTAGATCTAGGACCTCACTCACAATTATCCAATTTAGTTATCTATAGACTTTATTCGTTTTTAACTGTAATTTTCTCATTGTTACAGCCGACAGTTAGGATTCATATACGACTCGGTGACCAGAGGTATCACGGTGGAAGATATCGACCTGGACCAGGTCTGTCTCCTCACTGAAGCTCCTGATGCCCGGCGCCTTGTCACCGAGCTGACAGCATTGCGAAGCGAACGATACATTGTTGCTCCCCAAGGTAAGTCCCGCTTTATAGACAGTTGTGTACCTGCAGTGTATTAAAACAGTAGTCATTTTATCGGAATTTCTGAGTTGTAGGTGTGTTCAGAGGGAATATGCGTTCTTAGAACTATCGTTTTTTTTGTCCGACTTAGCTCTTTTTTTTTTTTTTTTTTTTTTTTTTTTTTTTTTTTTTTTTTTAAGGGGGGAAAATCATCGAATGACTGCCCCCGCCTGGGTGAGGCGGGAGGGAGTGTCAGACTCTTACTGACTAAAAACCACCCCGTTCCTTCTCCTGCACGTCGAGCCGGAGCCCCGGTTACCCGTTAGGTTCTCCGCGACTCCGAATCGGCATCGGCCCTATTGGGCCCCATCTATGGTGGTCTGATGGCTCTTTGAGGCGCGCGCGGAACGCGACGCGCCGTACGCTCGGGTCTGTTTCTGGTCGGACGGGGAGCCACCCATGCTCGCCGTCCGCAGGCCCGCGCTTACGGTGGCCGGAGATCGTCCCGCGATCCCCGACGCCCGGTGTGTCCTTCGCGATGGCTGGGTTGCGAGGAGGCAGCGCTTCGCTGCCTCACGCGTCCCGCCTCCTCCTTAGCTAGCATGACTGCTTCGCAAAAGGAGGAGACGGCATCCCAATCCCCCTCGCTCCGCATCATGGCCTGCACTAGGCCCGGACGCGAGAGGTCGCCATCGCCGATCACTTCCCTGAGGACACGGCGGTGCTCAGCCCACGAAGGGCATTCTCCCACCGTGTGTTCCACCGTGTCCTCAGGGCGGTCCTCGCAGTGATGACACCCGGGCGTTTCCTCCCGCCCCATCAGACACAGGTACCTCCCGAAACTGCCATGTCCGGTGAGGACCTGCGTCAGGCGGTAGGTGAGGACGCCGTAGCGTCTCTCAAGCCACTCCTCAAAGAGGGGACTTACCGCTGCGATGGCAGCGAGCCCAGTCCTCGGTTGCGACAGTCGTTGCTGCCATTCCGCCATGAGATCGCGCCGGAGCTCATCCCGCCACGCACTTATCTGGCGCGGTAGCGGAGTTTCGCCCCGGCGACGTGCCTCCGCGCGCATTGCTGTGCACGCGCGCGAGCACCTTCGCCTCCAGATCCCACGGCGGTAATCCGGCAAGGAGGTTCGCCGACTCCCCAGAGATCGTGCGGTATCCGCGGATCATTCGGATCGCCATGACCCTCTGTGCCATGAGCAGCGTCCGAGCGGGACGCCGCAACGGTTAGGCGCCCAAACAGGGGCGCCGTAGAGGGCCATGGACCGCACGACCCCGGCGTATAACCTCCGGCAGGAGGCGTTTGGCCCCCCGAGGTTGGGGAGGATGCGTTTAAACGCAGCCCCGTCCTCTCCAACTTTGGAGCCAAACGTCGGAAGTGTTCTATGAAGTTCCACCGACTGTCGAGACGAGTCCTAGGTACTTCATCGTCGTCTCGACGCCGATGGTAACTCCTCCCGCCGTTATTTGGGACCCACCCGGAGGTGGCGCGTTCCCGCGGCCATGAAAACACATGGCCTCGGACTTGTGGGGCGCCACCTCGAGTCCCAACTGCCGGATTCTCTCAACGACTGTCGCAACCGCTGTCGCCATTAAGTCGGCCGCCGCCTGGTGTGACCTCCCGTGCGCCAGCACCAGCGTATCGTCGGCGTAGCATATAGTGCTAACGCTGTTCGGGAGGTCGGTGCGCAGCACCAGTCATAGCCGATGTTCCACAGGAGCGGCCCCAGAACCGAACCCTGTGGAACACCGCGTGACATCTCTCGCCGGTTCCACTCGCCCCGGTGACCGGGGTAGCTGACGGACCTGTCCGTCAGGTAAGCCTCGATTACACGACGGAGGTAGGTAGGCACCCGATGATATCGGAGTGCCTCCAAGATGCAGCTCCAGGGCAGGGAGTTGAAGGCGTTGGCGATGTCCAGAGACACCGCCACTACGACCTTACCCTGGACACTGCAGTCCCCGTCGTGAGGTCTCTAACGCGCATGATGGCGTCCACCGTGGAGCGCCCTCTGCGGAAGCCGAACTGGCCGTCCGACAAGTCCGGCCCAATGTCAGTCAGGTGCGCGACGAGGCGGTTCGAAATGATTCTTTCGAAGACTTTCCCCACCTCGTCGAGCAGCACTATGGGCCGGTACGCGGACGGAGAGTCCGCAGGGCGCCCCGTCTTCCGCACGAGGACCAGTTTTCCCGCTTTCCAGAGAAGCGGGAACTGGCCTCTCTCCAGACATGCGCTGTAGAGACCAATCAATCGAGGCCCGAGAGCCTCTGAGGCCAGGACCCATGCCTTGCCATGCAGGCCGTCGGGTCCCGGGGCGGTGTTCTTGGCGCCCATCCGGCGCACCGCCGCTCTCAATTCTGCCTCGGTCACCTCTGGGACGATGTCGTCGTCGTCGTCGCTGAAGCCCGCGTCGGGCACCGCAGGGGGCGGAGTCATATACGGAGGGTGAACCCCCTCCACAGTCGAGGGAACAGGGTGCCAATCACCTCCTCCAAGACTTCTTGCCGGAGACTCTGGGTGAGCGGGGGAGCCCGCGGAGCTTGTCGCGTACCATCCGGTACGGGCGTCCCCACGGATCTCTGTCCAGAGTCCCCAGCATCTCTCGGCGGGCCTCCTCCTTGGCCCGCAATATCTCCACCTTGAGGAGGGCCTTGGCCGCCCTGTATCCCTCGTACAACTCCGCCTCTCTCGCCTCCGCATTAGGAGGACGGATGCGGCGCCTGCGGTGCCTAGTGTACTGGCGTCGCGCAGCAGTGCACGCCTTGCGTAGAGCTGCTAGCTCTTGCGACCACCAGTACCTGGCGCTTTTGTTGCCTCGACCGGATCCGGGGCATCGCCACGTCACAGATCCTGGACATGGCGTCCTGGAGCCACTTGGCCTCATCGTCTATGTCGGCAGGCCTGACCGGTGGTATCACCCAGGCCTGCACGATGGCGGCTTCCAGGAGCAGCTCCCGGTCCAGCTGTTTCAGCGCCCAACGCGGGCCACATGGGGCCTGTCTGACCGGCGGGTCTGCGGACTCGGCGGAGACGTCGAACCGGATATACCGGTGGTCGGAGTACGTCTCCACCTCCTCCATGACGCGCCAGCCAACAATACGCGGTGACAGAGCAGGGCTGGCGAACGATATGTCCACCACCGACTCGCCCTGCATCCGCACACACGTGGGGACAGAACCCCGGTTCAGGACGACTAGGCCTGTCTCAAGGGCCCAGTCTTCCACCATCCTACCCCGGACGTCGGTGAACCGGGAACCCCAAGCCAAGTTTTTGGCGTTGAAGTCCCCGAGGACGAGCACGGGGAGGGAACGGAACTCGACGACGACAGTGACCAACTCCCTCAAGGAGTTGTGGAACTCGGCGAGAGTTCGGTTCGGAGAGAAGTACACGCCCACCACAGCGAGCTCTCCGAACCGTGCTGCGACACAACCCCGGCCTCTTTGAGCAGCCTCAAGAGTCGGGGTACCGGCGGCGGCCGACGAGATGATGGTCACCGAGCCGTCCAGGTCCGCCACCCAGTGATCCCTGGGCAGGACAAAATACGGCTCGGAGACCACGGCGACATTGATCGACCACTGCGCCATGCTCTGGAGCAGGAGATCCTGAGCAGCGGCGCAGTGGTTGATGTTCGCCTGGAGGAGGCGGAATGGAGCCACTATTGACAGTCCATTCCGACCTCCTCAGTGGCGGCAGCGGCGACTGCGGTGGCAGTGGCGGCGGCGGCGGCGGAAACGGCAGGGGCGGCGGAGGGCCTACCTTTGCCCTTTTTAGCAGGAGGGGAGCAGCCCTTGCTCCCGACCCGGTGATTGGCCGGCTTGCCAGCCGCTGCACATGCGTTGCAGTGCAGCGGGGCGTTGCACGAGCCGGCCTTGTGACCGGGCCGACCGCAGCGGAAGCAACAGTCGTCGCTGCGGTCCACCTCCGAGGTGCATTTGACACTCACGTGCTCCCCCACGTGACAGCGGTAGCACCTCAGAGGCCGGGTCTCGAGCAGCTTGACCTGCGCCGAGACCCATCCCACTAAGAGCCTTTTGCCCTCCTTTAATGTTTTGGCCGCTGTGACGGGGCAGCTCACACCACCACCGTGCGCAGCCCCGAGTTGTCCGGACGTATGGTGCCCACCCTGACCTGGTCAGCAGGGCACCCTCCCGTCCTGGCCACAGCGGCCACCACCTCACTCTCCGTGACGGAGTCGTCCAGGCCCAAAATCCTGACATCCAGGCATTTGGTGGGCCTGGACACGCGGGCCTCGTCCGCACCGAGGCACGCCCTAAGCCTCTCGGCCAGGGCGTCGGCCGATGGGCCGCTGGTCGCGCCGGGGACCTCCAAAAGACGGGCTCCGGTGCGGTCACCTTGACCGCGAACCCGTCCGGGGCCCCGAACTCCGCAGGAGTCACCGCCCCCTTTAATTTGGCGAGGACGTCGCCATATGTGAGCCCCTATTGACCGCTTCAGGCTGTAGGGTGATGACCACAGCCGCGGTCTTAGGGGCGAGGAGCAGGGCAGCAGCGCGTTTCTCCCTGCGCTGCTGCTGCCGTCGTTGCCGCTGCGCCTTTTTTCGGCGCTTCCGGCCCTCCTTGGCGACTCTCCTCGCCTCGCCGGCGATTTGCCATCCGCCGCCATCCTCTGTGCGGGGCGGGTTCCGCCGCCGCCGCCGCAACCCCAGCCTGCCGGGCCGGAGTGCCCCTTCTCTTTTTGCGCCCAGCGGGCACAGGCGCAGGCGCCGTCGGCGCAGCCGGGGTCTGCGCCGGCGGGGGCGCCGAGGCCCTCGCTGGGGCAGCCGGTCGCGCCTTTGCCGGCGGTTGGGAGCTGCGGCTAGCCTGACCGAGGTCGAAGGCTTGGCCGCAGCGGCCGCGTACGACCGCGGGACCGCGGGGGCGACCTGATTCGTCGCGAGCGGGGGCCGCAAGAGCCTACCCTCCAGCACGTCGAAACGTCGCTGGAAGGCAGCCATCTCTGCCCGCAGCAGTCCGACTACATCGGCCTCCGCCGGGGGCTGGGGGCGACTG